GTTTGCATGAGGTTTCTCTTTCTGTTCCTTCTGAGGATTTTGAGCTTCAAAGTTTCAGCTTTAAAGAAACTCAAAACCCAAAAGAGAACCCTAGCAAAACCCACCATGTTATAGCTGGTTTGAGGTCAGGCCAGCCAAGGGCCACAGGATTCCAACATGGACTCAAAAAGCTCTTCCCCAACATTCTCTATCTGGTAGCAAAAGCTGGCAACCAGAAAATTGTTGGTCTTTCTTAATGACAGTAGAGTTCAGAGCAGTAAATTTTGGAGGGAAAGAATTCTGCTTAACAACCAAGAGGGAAAAACAAGCTTAGCTCGAAACAAGTGTTTCTATTTTGTCTTGTCAGCCTGCTAGCAAAGTTATTAACATTTGTGACTATACAGTAGCAATTGGCCTAAAAATTCAGATGAATTTATTATACAGTTTGTGGTATAGTATATAAGGTGCACTTTATTTTTCACTTGAATGTTTTAATATTGAGAATTTTGAAATATGCTTCTGCACACAGCTATAGGGAGTGGAAATGGAAATCCAGTACATTAACTGAAAATCACTGGCTACAAAGCATTGTTTTTGACTGCTATGTACTTTGATATCAGATTAGTGTTTGGCATCAAGTAAGTCATCCCTGATATGTGAGCTGCTGTTTTTCAACAGGATCACTGCAGTAAATTTTCTTTAATTCATAGTGTGCTCTAATAAATGACATAAAAATAAACTTGTGACCCATAAGAACAGATTTTTATAACAGAGCCACACTCTGGTCCCACAGGACATAGGAACGCATTGCAAATACTAATACATAATGTAGTAAGGCATTTTTTTTTAAAAAAAGCAGATAACCCTGTCTGCCCAGTCTGAAAATCCTTCTCCTCTAAAGGGCTGCAAAAAAAGTACTTGTCAGTATTGTCTGTTTATCTATTATCAATAAAGCTCTTACTGTCAGCATCTAAAATCCACACATCTAAAACCACTTGTCTTTTTTTTTCTTCAATCCTTTTAAAGAAAAATAAAGGACCTAAATGAAAGGAGAAGGAAAATTAATAAAGAACTGGTATAGATCTACATATGTCTCTGTAGAAGAACAGAGTATGAAAGCAATGAAGCAGACCCAGAGATATGACTGAATCCCAGGCTTTCTGCAAATCATCTCCACAGTACTCTTGAGATAAGTCGTACCAAATAATAAATAAGTTGCTTAGCCAAGCAGAGTAGAGAACAATAACCTGTCCAGTACATTTTATCAATTTTAAGTCATAGTCCAAGAGCCAAGGGGAAGGATAGGAATCAGAAATAGAGTTTAATCAGTTGCTATTGCTTGCAAGAACTCCAGAGGCCTTACAGAAAAGACAAATGCAAATCAAGTCCAGCAGTGCACGATAAAAGTAAGTTCAGTCTTCTGCTGAAAATGTTTCTTCTAGGGAAAAATACAGAAAATGTTTCTGTACTGGAAAAATCCAACCAACCATGAAAGTAAATGTTCCCATTCTGAGTTGGTTTTTGGGTTTTTTTTTGTAAGGGAGGGCAAAGCAGAAAGCATTAAATTTGAAATAGGTCTTCATGTCCCAGGAGGCCATCCTGGGGCATATCTGACACAGGAGGCATCCGTCTCCACTGTAAAAACTGTTCCCCCTTTATGTTAGGTATTTCTTGAACTTTACCCTTTCCTATCCCAAGCGAGTAACTTGACCACAAAATTGTCAGTGAGCTCCTCAGGTTCTTCCTCTTTCTCTCCAATCTAATAACTATTGTGTTATTTACATCCAATGAAACAGCTTCAGCAGTAGCTAATGAGGCAGACACCGTCCCTGCACGTTCCTAAACCATCCATATGGCAATAGAGCTTTGGTCTGGGAAACGTTCCTGTGGCTGAGTGGGCTGTGCTGCAGAGCAATCAGCACTGACTGCTCAAACTCTTGGGAGGGAGGGAGGGAGTGAGGGAGTGAGTGAGTGAGTGAGTGAGTGAGTGAGTGAGTGAGTGAGTGAGTGAGTGACAGCCAGCAGACACAGGGCAAGAACTGCACCCATACCCAAATTGATCATTGTCAGCTACCTCCTCACTGCTCTGCTGATGATCAGAGAAACACCTCAGACTGGGAGGAGAGCAGGATCCACAATTGTCAGGCTGATGAATAACTGAACCGATTCTCTTGATGATCCAATTAATAGCAAAAAGTGTTTCATAGAAACACTTGTCCAATTAAATAAAATTGATGGATTTGGGGACATGGAGGATTAAAAATTTTTGAACTATCTGCATGACAGACTACAAAATCTGATTTGATCCCTTCCAGAACCTCAGGATTAGCCCCCAAATATGCCTGAATAAAGTCTCTGGAAATAGCTTTATTTAAATGTAAAAGGAAAAATAACTTGTCTTGTTCACTCCATTCCAAGTTTCTAGTGCTCATCACCCATGAAATGGATTGCTAAGGTGAGATGATGTCTTTTTTGTGCCTTCCAAAGTCTGTGAAGAATGTCTTCCTGGTTAATAGGTTGACTTAAACTGTATATGTTCCAGAACATAAATATGATTATTTGTCATATTGCCCAAGATAATGACAGTAAAGAAGACAAGGCTGAAATTCTTTATGATTCCTCTCTCCCACAGCCAGCAACATTCAGCACACAATACACAGATGGCATGCCACATAAAGGATCACATTAGCTGTTAAACATTTTTTTCTTCCCATTAACTAATTTAACAATATGTCCACACTATGAAAGAAATAGAAAAATTACAGAAAACTTCTGTCATCTTAATCCCAATTGCTAAAACAGGCCATTTGCCCAGATGGGATTGTTTTCTGGCCTATCGGGTTTGAAACATCTAGAAATTCTGCAACCACCAGCCCAGATTCTCACAGTGTTGATTCAGCTCTTCATCCTTAATTGCATTTCAGGCATGTAACTCTCTGGAGAGTTTTGACTGACAACCTAAATATTGAAGGCTACTCCGTTCTGCATGCATGTTAGGTGACCTGAATTTTCTAAAACAATGAGCTCTTAGGAGCCTGGTTGAAGTCAGCAGATGCTGTAGGTGACAAAACTCACAGCAAAAGCCCTTGAGATTTTTTGCCAGGGTGGGCAGTGGACCAATTCAAGCAAACATTCCCAGTTTGTTTTAATTTGCCACCTTCGAGAGCAAATACACTGTTAGTGACTTTGGGGCTGGTGGTACTGTGGGGGCTCCCTCTGTAATCGTGAGCACGGCAGAGCTGGGCAGGCTGCTGATCTCTTCTCATCACCGTTTGTTTTCCTATTTTTCTTTCTGCTTCTAAGCAACACAGGAGTATGGAGGGAGCTCATGGATTATTAAGCATTAGCCTACAGGCTAATTTTAAGAACATACATGCCCTCTGTTACTCCTGTAACTAAATGTGACCAGAAAGTTGAGACAGATCAGCAGAAATGAAACAGAGACCAGCTGAAGAGTAACTTGAAACAATTTGAACTCACTGTGATTATTCTACATTACCCACTTTGAGTATCAGCGTTGCAAACATCACCTTACTTCAGCGTAACTTCTTGCACTGGAAAAGTTGACGATGAAAACAAACTTCTGTTTTGTTCTTACATGCCCTTCAAAAAGGAGAGTAAGCCATTTTTAAATAAAAGAAAGCAATTAGGGGGTCACTGACCCACTAACTTTTTTTTGCACCAGTATCTACTTCTAGTATTTAACTTTTAAAAATTGTTTTGTTTTTTTTTTTAACGTCTATTGCCTGTTGGGCTTTGCTTAATTTTATTCGCTCACTCTCAATAACTACATACACTATGGTATCTAGCTGCTATTGGCATACTAAGTACTTTTCCCTCCATTTGTTCAATGTTTTGTTGTGGTTTTCAGTAACTCTTGGCCAAATAGTTTCATAGAAAGAAAAAATGACCCATCATAAAACCAGCAGAATGTTCACTGAGTGAAGAGAACTGCACAGTGTTTTAACAAATATCCAAGATCTCCTGTGTTTTTCATGTCAACTGAGACTTGATTTATGCTTGCACTCTTCTACACAAACCCTTATCTAGAGAAAATCCGTTTCCAGCCAAAAGCACAGAATAAATTGGAATACAATGATCTACAAATTCCTGTCTTCTTGAATCATGTTTAATGTACAGCCTTATACCTCAACATGGATTTATTTCATCACTCTGTACTTGCCCTGTAAGTGTGATTCTATTTTAAAGATTTATCTGTATATTTCACTGTTAGCATTTTTTGAAGAGCATCATCTGGTATGTCCTTGTTACTGGGTACCTCCAGATTTAATTAATCTGATCTGTCATAGGGAAATTTATTTTTTATAATAACAATTACACTAATTTCCATTGGCTAAACATTTCCAGAAGGGACAGTTCTCTTGTGCCAAGACTCATAACCTACCTAACCCTCTGAGCTCTAAAGTGCTAGAAGACCACTCATTTTCCTTCTGAGTTTCTCCTCAACTCTGTCTACTGTGTCTACGTCACTGTGCTGATGGGGGTAAGGGGTAAGTGTAGGACAGCTCTCTCCAAAGGCAGCCAGCAGGCAGGACAGATCTGATGCCTTGTACAATTCCAGGGACAGACATTCACTTCAGCACAGGGCAAGCCAGCCTCTGGCTAGCCTTTCTCCACTGAACATGCAAGGCACTTTGAATGACTGATTTAGGTGAGTTATTTAGTCTAGATAAAGACAACTCAAATCCCACCTTAGAAACTAAGAGTAATCCTAAGGACATCATGTGATTTGCATTTAGTTCACTTCAGTATTTGACCAGTTATAATGACACAGCTACTTGTTAAACTTGGTAAGTCAGCACTGATATGCTTAAATGTAGGCAAAACAGGTATCACCACTCACATGAAACTAATAAAAATAGAAAAATAGTACCATTTTCACGTGTGTTATTTTATTGTCATGTTTCATAGGAAAACTATACTTCTCTATTATTCATCTGACATTTAAAGTTTTTTTTTTATATTCTTTCCTATGAATATAAAGACTTAAATCACAAAAGACAAGTTTTACAAGAACTTTCTTAAATCTGACAACTGACTAACTGGACTTTGTGCAATTGAAAAGAAAATCTTATAATCAAGCAACAGAGGACAGTTCACTGATGGCACTTTTTTTTATTTCTCCAGTTTTACATATCTTCAGTTCTGCAAATACATTTGAGTAAGACATTACTCTTTCTGGTTTACACCCACACTTCATGAGATTGCTGCAGTGTGGAAAATGTCACATTGCTTCCCCTGGTAGAAGAGCCACAGAAATGACTGGAACACACAAAATTAGTCCTGCCCATACACTTTCTCAGCTGAAAACATTTGTGTAAGACTGACTGGGTGTCTTACTATTTTATAACTTCTTCACTTACTATTTCAATTGACATACAAATATAGTAGAGACTTTTATACACAAAATCAAATTCATTATTGTGGGATCCAATTTTAAAAAGTTAATACTGAGAAAACAGTGACCTTTGTAAGAGATCTCTTCTAATGCTCTGCAGAGGAGCTTGTAGGTCACTACTTGCATACTGGGTTTTAAACTTACCCTTCAGACATATAAAAATGATTTAGATATTTTCTCTGTTGCAAATTCAAATATGTCCTTTCTTTTTGAAGAGTGCACTATATGCTTTACCCTCAGGCTCAGCAAGAGATCTGTTATGATTGACTTGATGGTTATATTCCTAACAGGACAAGTCACTGGAAGTACTGTTTTCATTTCCTAGAGAAATTTCATAAAATTCTTCCTGAAATGCAGGATGGGACAGGAGTTTATTTGGATTATATTCGTATATTTACTAATCAATAACATCAATCAACTAATCAAGAAGAAACTTAGTGTTTTCTCTAAGTCTTTGAAAAAGTCTTTTTTCCAGTTGAATCCAAGTTATCTTGCAGGGTTCATTTTCTCATGCAAACATCATCAACTATACCAAACATGCTAAAAAGTATAGTACTAAATGGTTTGGTTTGGCTTGAACTCCCTTGCTCCTGGATGTTTACTGGCATTCCCAGGTTCCGTGCACTCAGTCAGTAACTTGCTCAGTCTGAGTCTTCTTTGTTTTCCAGAGGGGACACTTCTGCTACTTCCACTCTTGTTCTCGCTGGAAGAGACACCTTCAAATGGCTCTGAGTCTTTCACTTGGATTTAAGTAAGTTTTCCCATTCAACACTGGATTCACTATTTTTAGGAATTGCTGGAAAGATTGACTGCATCTTACTTCTGAATTCTTTCATCTATAAAAGAGATTTAAAAATAAAATCAGTTAACTGCGACTAAGGAACAAATAAAGTAGCACCATGAACCCCAGGCTTATCCCACAAAACAAGCTGTGTGAGGTGAAGAACAAGTAAAAAGCTTTTAAAATAATAGAAAACTAGGACTTTCCCTCTGATTATGTTGGTTCAATTAATAAAGTGAAAAAAAGCATGAAGGGACCCACAACAACCACCCCTTCTAATGCACCACACTGCGGTGCCTGATTTGGAATGCTTGCCTGAATGATCCACTGCTATCATGTGAATTATTATATACACACAGACACACTTAGAATATTTTTGTTTGGAGAAAAATTACCTCCATAGAATGTGCCTACTTTGACTGCAGTGCCTTTTTCTACACATGTAATGGATGAAAGGTCCAGTAGTCTGTTAAAGGATTTTAAAACAAGGGCTAAAGAAAAATACTGTTCAGCTCTGACACCTTAGGTTTATCCCACCATATGGATAGAGGTGACAAAACAAAGTCTCATTCAAATGTACATAACAGTAGGAAAGAAAACAAATTTCATAACAATATATGGGACCAAGCTTTTCTGTCACTGCTGTTAAAATGCTGTGGAAGAGGAAGAATATCCATATTATATAGATACAGATATAGATAGATATATGGTATTTATAATTTATATTTTATCACCAATGTCTGATTCAATAGTCTTGTAAGGTCAGAACCAAACATTCATTTAAATAAAAATCACTTCTATCAGAATATTTATATTTAGTGAGCTTCTTTCTTTTTTTTAGAGTTTTACGTGTATTTTAACATATAATATATTTTTAAAGGATAGGCATGGAAAAACCAGATCAGTGAAAATCCTGTTACACAAACAGCAGGATGTACAGGGGAAGTTTTGGACTGCTATTTTTAGGAAGCCCTATGACAGAATCTATGACATTCACACAGAGAAGACAGGATGTGGTATTCAAGCACTGGATGCAATGACCTCTTGAAGAGCAAATGCTGTTTCAGGCAGAATGTCCCACAGAGAGGTTCCAGGAAATCTAGATATTCCAAACAGACACACAGGCATCTACTCTTGTATGCCTACATTTTGTGTGTTATAGGTCATCGGTATTTATACAAATACCTCTGGGTTATTTCTTCTTCAAGTCCTTCTGTGTATGAATAATTCTGACAAAGTATTGGTACTTCTTTACAGACATGCTACCAGAATGCAATTATTCAAGTTACAGCTGATACAAAGAATGAAAACATTTACAAAGAAATTTCCACTCCTTTAGTTAGACAGTAGCTAACTATGATGGATGAAAGCATTTCAGAACCCCAGTTTTAGTGTAATAATGCCCGAGTACCACTAATCAAATCAAAATATATGTTATATAAAGTAGGAAGAAAATTCAGAGCCAAATTATCCTTCTTGGTTTTCCCTGATTTTGTTCCTAAGTAAAACTAATTCACTCTCTGCTCTATATTTCATTCTGATCAGATAGTTGTTTTGATTAATTATTCCTTCTTGGTTTTTAAAAATCTTGGCCATCACCCACAATTGTTCCTAAACTAACATTTTTGCTTCTCATTTAAAACTGAGAAGCTCTCACAGACAGCTAATGTTTCCAAGAATAATAAATAGCAGTATCAGAGCTGACGTAGAGGAACAGCCCAAATTACATTAAACAATTGCTGCCAATTCAATGCAAGTATTTACAGTAGGAAATGTTTTAGGAGCTTTGGCTTAGCTGTTTTTTCCAGTCCTATGTAATTAAGTTATCCCAGCTTGCTGATGGGCGGAAAGTATTCAATTTACTTAACATTTTTTGCTTCCTAAAGAGTAATTCAACTCTTCTACTTTTTCATCTAAGTATTATCTGGGTGTTTGGAACACAGGAATAGTCAAATACTAACCTGATGTAAAATGCTGTAGCTCTGTTGATACAACCAAAGATAAAACACTCAGCACCAGCCAATGATTTGGTGGAACGTGGATTTTCTGACTGTTTCTAAACTCAGACCTAAATTTCTCTTAGCATAAAATTTAAATGATGCACTCATAAGCCCTAGAAGACACCTCTGTTACCCCACTGAAGATGCACCAAACCAAAGGGAAACTAAAAGCAATTGTAAAAAGCCTCCAAAAAGATGATGGGTGGAGTGACTCAGAAATCTGCAGTGATTCCTCACTCTGACAACCACCTCATAATTATTAACATGCCAAACCCTAACTCTTGAATACAAAAAGCAGTCTTGTCTGGGAAATAAAACACTACAACTTGGTTCTAGGAGAACAAAAAAGGTATACATTTTAGAAAGCACTGAAACACTGCTAGCAGCTGGAGATTTAAGAATATTAGATAGATTTCTATCCCCTCAGAACATTAATTTATGTTCTGCAGGTAAAGGCAACTAATTTCCTGGAAAAGTAATTTTTCCTTAACATGTGGACCAGATCTGAAATATTCAATGTCCTTCTTCTGCTTTTAAGACTCCCTGAGAAATTTCCTCAGCCTTGTCTTCTCAGACTTTGATGCTTATTTGCAAAACCACTTTGGAAGTGATGCCAGACTCTGTTTCATTTGCCACTTCCTCTCTCGCCTGTCCTTTTCCACAAGCCCACTCTACACAGAAACAGTTTTTCATTGCAGTTCTCAATTTTGACCATGTTTGTGTTTTTCCACAGTTTTTCTTCCTTTGTGATTCCTGGACAGCGATCTAGTTCAATAAATCATAATGCCAAGCTGATCACTTCTGTGCATTGTCTTCTCAGTGTAACACTTTAGACTGCCAGCTCTTTCTCAGTGCAACACTTCAGGCTGTCAGCTCTTTAAGAAGGACATTATCTGCAGTGACTGGCGTGGGCCTCATTAATACATGACTTCACAGTATGTCTAAAACTGGGCCAATTTCTTCCCAGTACAAATGTAACAGCTACTAACTCTTACTAGAAGTTTTCATTTCTATAGCCCTTAAAAGATACTGCACCTGATTACTTATCTCCACAACAGTTTTTGAGTTCTCACTAGTAAGACATTAAGCAACTTAATTGGTACCAGTCACGGACTCCTATTTTCCCCAGTCAGAAAGTGCAGTCCAGTGTTTCATTAGGGCTTTGATCTGGACCTCTAAGGTATCTCCCCTTTCTTTCCTGTTCCACTAATAACATCAGCTTCTGAGTTTTTTCCTTTATTTCCATATTTCTACTTGGTGCTTTCCCAAATGCACTTCCAAATCCCAATGTCTTCCCTGCACTCAGAATTCCTCTAAAACTCGTCTTAAACCATGGAGAAAGCTTTCAAAGAGAACTACACTCTGATGTCACAGAACTGGTGTATACCCACATAAATAACCATGAAAACCACACCCTTAACCTCCTGTCCCTTCTCTCCCACTGACAATGTATGCCTGCTTACAAACCATTCTAGCACCCCATTTTAGGCTGTAATTTCTTAATGGACAAACATAATGATCTTAGAGGTCTTTTCCAGTCTAAATGATTCTTACTCTTTCAGTCAGAGACAAAGAGCTCAGTCTTCTGGGCCCCAACTGATCAAACTCTGTTTAATATACTTTTATATTTAGGACTAAATTTGGCCTCCAAAGTACCTCACACTGGCCTCCAGAGTGTTCTTGCTTGCATTTAGTTGACACTGTCATACTATGCCCATTGCAACTTCAAAGTATTCTTGCACTGAAAGTAAAATTTGTCCACTAAACATTTAAGTTAGTCCTTCAATGAACTGGGCTTACCGATGTCCAGTTCTCCTGCAGTGTGGTGAGCTTTTTGTGAAGATAATTAATCAGCTTTATGTTCTATTAGTACTTGAGGTGTGAGAACTGGGACCTTGTCTTTACTTGCTTTAACTCATGGGACAAACACACTTCTGGATGAGGGATATGCTGCAATTAGGAATCTTTGTCTTGCCTTGCCTTTCTTTTCAGCAGACATGTAATGCAAGAGGTCTCTTCTCCTCTCTCCTTTCTTCCTGGAAATCTCTTCTGTATTTCCTCCAGATTCCACAATACTCTCATCAGTGGTATCAAATCAAAAGGCATTAATTTAATTACAAGAGCTAATGTGTTATGTAGTAAGCACTGGAATGTTTTGAATAACTCACTGCAATGGCTGTCTCTTTATTATTGTCAGCCACACTAGCACTGGGGTACTCACTTCAACTGTGATAATGTCTTCAATTAATAGTGCAGTAAACCAAGCACTAAAAGCTGAATGCATTTTACCTCTTCCTGCTGCCTTCAGTACCATAGGCCACTCTCAACTGCTGCTCCTGAACCTTCCTGTACATGAATGATTTGTAACACATTTCTTAACATTCCAGCATGCTCCATTCCTCCAGGCAACTCTCTGAATTTCACTCAAGTGAATTTTATTTTTTTGTCACAGATATTACAGAGTTTTACGCTGCTTTTTCTTACCAAATAAATTACAGTAACTGTTCTACCTCTGTCAGGCTTCCTTCTAAAAGGGTATCATCTACCTTACTGCATTAAATAATCTGTAATAGCTACAGATCACTGTTATTTTCTTATCTTAACCTAATGATCTTGCCTCAGATGGCAAAAATATGGGGACCTAAAAGCATCTTCCATTTAATAATCTCTTTTTAATGTACATCGTTGACAGAATGTCACACAAAAATTGGGATAGCACTATTACTGAGAGCACTTACATGGCCGTTCATATTAAAATGAATGGAAGAGGGGCTAAGAGAGTCTATTTGATTCCTAGAATGAAAGTTTTGCGAAGAAATGTTCTCTCTAATGTCTGACATTCTTAATAGGCCAGCGCAGATTCCAGGAATTATTAGTTTCCTATTTTAGTACTCGTATCAGTAGGAACTGCTTACATTAGCTTCCAAGTGAAATGAGGTTAGATGCCCTGAACTGGAATATCAAGTGGCAGCAGAATGCAGTATGTACATGCCCTCTGTTCTCCACAGGCACCATCCATTTCACAAGGCATGAAGATGAGGCAGGCTGCCCTGGA